TACATAATAATGGACCAGAAATGAGCTTTCATTTTTCATTTATCTGTAACTTGCAGTTAGTATTGTTCTGATTTTTCAGTGCTTAGCCTTGTTGTGTGCTGTTTGTGGCTCTTACAAAACAAAGGACATGTGGCAGATTCGGCAGATCCATGGCTGATTTTTTTTTTTTTTCTTTTTTTAATGACACTTCCGCATATTCTAGTGTAGAATGTTTATTTCATTTCTTCCTCTGGTCAAGTAACTTCCTTCTATGAAAGAACCTTGTGATTTGCTGTGTTTGAACGTTAATGTTTAACTACAGAAAGTTGACCATTGTCATTAATGCTTTATTTTGTTTTGCGAGGAGGCTGTTAAAAGCAAGTTGACAATACAGTACTGCTGTAAATGATTTGCTTTAAAATGTGTTTCCACCTTTGCAGCCAAATTGGGATAACACCTATTTTATATTCATGTAGCCTAATTTTAGAGAATAGCTCCGGGCAAAAAAAAAATCTCAATCCTTGCAGGGGGGCTACACCAACACTGCAAGGGTTTAAGTCCTCGTTTTGTCTAGGGAGCTAAAATAACGGTTAAACTCACCCGAACTTTGGATCCGGGCCCCAGCAGCCTTTCTTTCTCTCTGCCCCCCCTTGCTCCGTCGGGCTAAGGTCTAGTGAGTCATCACGTCCAATACAGTGTATAGGACGCCAATGGAGATTCCATTGCTGGAGTGGAGGAGGAAACCGGCTGAAGGGACCAGTTCAGCAGTCAGCTGGGTTTGTGGTTCAGGTTTTGTTATTTTAGCTCCCTAGAGAAAACAAGCAATTAACTCTTGCAGTGCGGGGGTAAGGCAACTGCAAGGGTTAAGAATTTATTTGCCCAGAGTTCTTCTTAAAAATAAATATTTAAAATTGCTGCTTCTATTTTTACTTGCTCTTTCTCCTTCTATGTACTGTGGAGGTATTTTTGTTCCATAATTAACCCTGTCTGTGCTGGCAGGTCTTCATTATCAGTTGTAAACTAGATGTGCACCTAACAGAGAGGGTTAAAGATATCAAGGCTTGGGTGGTACAGCGTATGTCAATGCACTTTCAGTCCAGTCTGTCCATAAGTCACATTGCAAGTTAAGCTGAACAATACAAGCTGCCAGTAGTGTCTTGTGTCTAATCCTAATAGAAACTATTAAATAAGCATTTTTAAAAGTAATTTTAGGTATGCTGTGTAAAAGGAAACGCATAACAAGCATGTAGAGGGAGTTTCTCAAATGTGTCTGCGAAGTTGGAAATCTACTTTGAGCGTTAGTGGGAACCTAAAATAGGGGCACAACTGAGGACACCTCCTATTATCATTATAGTGCTGTATTTATACAAACCTTCATGACATCATTATTGTGGTATTTATTAAAACCTCTCCCTCTAAGGTAAATGTTAAATCCCTTTTTATTACAAGGAACTAGTATTCAATGATTCTGTAGTAGTGTTTGGAACCTTCTTATGCATGTGTGAGATTGTGAAAAGCATAAGGATATCCATCACTGAGTAGCTTTATGACTGTATAAGGACATGGAGGAACGAAAGGAGCATTTATACTGGCTGCAGAATGTGGGTTTCAGATATCCTCGTTTACTACAGTAGTGAAGATAGAATTGTTCATGCATGCCAACATTACTATGCAGAGAGAAAATACATTGGGAGTGCATTTGAAAACCTGGTGGAACATGGTCTTCAGCTGGGCATACATAAGCATGTTTGGGTTTTATGTTTTGTTTAGCTAACTGATTCCTCCATCTATGTTAAAAAGCGGTAAGGGAGGAATCTCCCGTGCGGCCATTGTATTTTGATATTCATCCCGCCAGTTGTCAAAATACCTGAACAGTACTTGCATCTGATTGGATGCACGCGCTGTTCAGGTGACCATTTTCCACCCAGTTCCTTCAATTGAAAATGTCGAGCAGGAGGCAACAGAGGCCACCCACTGAACAAAGCCGAAATTCACGTTGTGGGTGGCCCTGTCTGCTACCTCCTGCCCAATAACAGTCCCAATACGTTCAGTGTGTAGCCAGCTTAACAGATAACCAGGGTTTTATGTAAAACCTGCTTGACCATTAGTTCCATAGCCTGGTAATGAGTGTGAAATACTGTATCGTGTGTGTTTCAAGGATGTTGGCAGACTTCATTGTAGTCCCTACAGCAGTTACCTGCTGTACATGACACTGCAGCTATTTAAACTGATTACCAAGTTCATGTGGCTGCTGTAAGCACGTAGTGACTGCCATTGTTGTAATAGAACTGAGGATGTAATATTTCTATGTAAAAGTTTTGCCAGACAAAGATTGCTAGGGATGTATGACATTTTACCTGAATCATTTCAGTCTTTTGGGGAAAGCAGCAAGCCAAACCTGTTGATGTGACTTCTGGGATATTATGTATGCAAACAGTGTAGGTAAACTAAATATGACATCTGAAAGCGTAGTGTCACAGTAAAGCCACGTTCGCAAGGGCTGCAGTCTTCACCGTCCTCTGAAAAGCAATCCACAGTGTATCATACTTCAGAGGGCGGTGGAGCAGCAGCTTTCCAGCATTCAGGAGGTGATGCTACGGCTTCCTGAATGCAGTTGTGTTTTTTGTCTTGTGGGGGTTTTTTTGCACCCACCTAATGCACCTAATCGATTAAAACTATTTATAATCGATAATGAGAATCGTTGTCAACTATTCTCATCATCTATTTATTTGGATCCGCAGCGGCCACTCTGCTCCTCTGTTGTCCTCCCCGCTGGTGCCGGCCGCAGGGGCCTGTGTCTCCTTCAGTTCCCTCCTCTGCTGATTGACAGCAGGCAGTGGGTGCAATAGTCAGCCTGCTTATTGGCTATTGTAATTAAAAATAGCCAATAGCAGGCCGACTATTGCTCACAGCCACTGCATGCTGTGTTGACATTCAGCTGCCATTCCCCAATGAAGTGGAGTTTCAATGAAGGGGCTTAAAAGACCCGCAGGTGATGGCTGTACAGAAGTCGGATCGCTTGTATGGTGCAGCGCTGTGTGCCTTTGCCTCCACTCCACTGTCCCCCGCGTGGGCCCAGGACCGGCATGGCGGGTATCCTCACCTCTGATCACTGGACCTGGAAGTGATGTTATTGCGTCACTTCCAGTGTCACTGTGTACATTCTCGGGCTCTTAGAGCCAGGAGAAGAAGCTGGGGAAGCAGATCTCTGCATCCTCAGCTTCTTTGGTGTCCCTAGGTGACATTAGGCAAGCACGTGTTGGATGCACCTACGTGCAAAAACAAAAATTGTGCCACACATGTTCCAAGCGTCGCCTATGGGATAGTTTGGTTATTATAGTTTTTTGCGGTTTCATGAACGCACGCAATTTTAAGGCTTGACATGTTTGGTGTCTATTTACCCGGCGTGACCCCGTCTTTTATATTTTACCGAAACATTGGGTATTCTGTTTCTGTGCACTAAATTAAATTTTAGTGTATTTTATCCTAAAAATACTGGTTTGATAAACAGTATTACAAGGCCTCTGCTTTTAGAAAATATATAATTGTTTGGGGGTTTGTAGCTGTTCTCCCAACCCCCGCAAACGCGTGCATACTAACAGAAGCACAAGTTGGGTGCACCTACGCAGTAAAACTACGATTGCTCTACACATTGCAGGTGTCACCGCGTGCCTCGGTGTGAGAGCTATTTACGGCTAACTAAACTGATGACTGGGCTTTTATAATAAAAAAAAAAATATATATATATATATATTAGTGGCAAGTGTCATTTTTGGTTTCGGCCTGAAAATTCTGCTCTGGAATATGCGTTGTGGTGCTATTAATTTCAATGGCATCCCAAACGCGCCTCCTGCCCACAGTGTGATCACCTGCGTTCCAGTGCTACTGCAAAAAATGTGCATGCAGTTTTATTCTGAAGTAAACTTTATGTTTGTAACACTCCATTTGCGTATTTAATTTCAAAGAAAAGAGGGTTTTAGTTTTATCCGATTAATTGAAAAAATAATGAAATTAATTAAAATAATCGTTAGTTGTAGCCCTAGATTTTCTATTGCAATGCTGTGTAGTACCTACATGGTTGTGGCACAATCCCATTATTTTTTGCTGCGACGCAAAGCATCGTGGCCGCGGCAATGTGTACGCCACTGTTCGTTCACAGTGCTACCAATGCAGTTGGCAGCTGAGGGGCGATAAAACAGCACATCAGCTGCACTGTTTTACCACCACCCCCTTGCCACCCATGTGAAGGAGGACTAATTCCAGCAATTTGTAGATCATTCACACAGCAGTTGGAGCTGGCTACAGAAACTCCAGCTTCTGCATCAGCTCAAGTTATTTAAAGGAGAACCATGGGGTTAGGGCTTTTCCCCATAGTTCTCAGGGTAACGGGAGGACACAAACTAGCGTCTTCCCATCACCCTAAGCTCAGTATACCGCAAGCTACAGCTCGCGGTATACTGAGATGCTGAAGCGGATCCCGACAATTATGTCGGGATCCGCCCAGCTGCGTGAGTGACAGCTGGCTCTGCCTGTCTAGATTCAGAGCCAGCTGTAACCGCCCCCTCCCCCGTCCATTTCGCCAGTCAGCGCTGGAGGATCGGAGTGGGAAGGGGGGAATCCAGCCCCTCCCCTGTCACGGCAGAGAGCTGTGACAGGATCGAGAAGTGAGCGAACGCCGGTATGTGTTCGCTCACTTCCCGATCTACTGAGCCGACCTGTAATACTCTCATTGTCACAGATCGGCTAGAACTATGAGGTGAGTGAAAAGCACTCACCTCATAGTTCTCCTTTAATGCTACCTCCGATGAGCATGTTGTTTCAACGGTGTGGAGATGCATAAACACGCACAGCAGCAGCCAGCTATAGAAGCTAGAAAAATCAGGACAGAAAATAATCACAGATGTATATATATGACATAAATATCTGCTGCAAAGTTGCTGCTTTGATATGATCATTTGTTTTAATGACCGTTGTTTTTCAAAAGTTTATTGTTCCATTTGTATTTTGCTGTGTTTTTCAGGAAAAAAGGGATCACCCAGCAACAATGTCATCAGATGGACTTTCATCCAAGGCTTTGAAGGTATTTAATTTTTGATATCTTCTTAAAAGTATGTTACCTTCTGTGTTTAAAGGGCAACTACAGCTCAGAGCTCTTAATGCATGTGTTCCTGCATGAAAAACGTACAAGTAAAGTAAGTAGATTCTAATAAGATCAGTAGACTTTTTTTATTTACTGAGCTTCTCCGGAGTAACAAATAAAGAGTAAAATATTTTTCATTCTCCAGACTGCTCTAAGAAGAGAACAGGAGAGGACCGGACCCTGGAATTATATGGGGGATAGTCAGGGAGATTCTACACAAACATGTGCACTGAGATGAACTGTATATGCACTTTGTTTGGTATTTTATTCATCTTAAAAAGAGTTATACTGACAAAATACACTATTGGGGCTTACACGAATAAAGGGTCCAGGAAAGTCTCAATATTAACTCTCAAGGTATGAGAGCCGGTGAGTATACTCGCCTCATACTCGGTTGTAGTGCAAGTCAGTATATGCATATCAATGCGAATGGTGCCGGAGACTCATTTACTAAAAATTCAGCATTGTGAGAACCATAATAACACAAAGACTACATGTCAACAGCATAGACAAGAATATTAGTATTACTAGCAAAACTGTTCCCGTTCCAGAATGGTAAAGGTTGGCAATATAACAATACTAAAGAAGTGTCTTAGAAGGCAGGAGAGGAGAGCAAAGTGTATGACAGCATGTAGTACGTGCCGGAGAATAATACAGGGGATATGACAGGAGAGATGTATGACAGTAGGCAGTATGTACAGGAGAGGATTGCAGAGGGTATTACAGGGGGGAAATATCTGCAGGGGAGGATATGACTGTGAGCTGTATGTGCAGGAGTGGGGTGTAAAGATATAAGAGTGCGGAGTATGTGCAGGAAAGGAGTGAGGACGGTATGACAATGAGCAGTATGTACAGTAGAGGAGTCTGGAGATATGACTGGGCAGTATGTGCAGGAGATAATTGTGGAAGGTATGACAATAGGCATTATGTAGAGCAGGGGTCTCAAACTAATTTCACTTGGGGGGCCACTCGACAATTTTTTTTTCTCCCATGGGGGCCATTTGCCAAATTTCATACTTCAATTTTTTTTTTTAGCTATATCCGGTATAGTACTATGGACCCCAATACACACACTATATAAGGCCCCATTCATATCTGTAAGTTTAGGTGCAATTAGGGATTCCTGCTTCAGGAACTTGTGTTTTCCTGCAGCAGTGATCCCTAATCTGGCGTTTACAAGCGGCCGCTGTCACCCATTGCAGTTAATGATCAGGTGACAGCAGCTGCATGTAAACGCCTGCACACCGCATGTAATAGTATGTGTTATGATTACATGCGGTTAGAAAACACTGTCCCTGGATGCACAGTCATTGCGTCCTGGGAGAGTGATTGATTCCTAACCGAATGTTATCATATCGCATACTATTACATGCTATTACATGCAGTGTGCTGGCATTTACATGCAGCACACTGCATGTAATAAATGCAGGATACTAAAACAGGAAAAGTGTGTATGCTGAATTGGGGATAAAAGAGGTTGAAAAGGAGACGCCAAAATTCAATCAGTTTGTTAGCAGGGACTGTCATAGAATACTGGAATGGTAGATGTAGTGGTGGTGATGTGGCAGATAGGGCAGAATTTGTTGCCGGATTGTTTAGAGGAAATAGGGCAATGGAGCTCTGATTCCCACTGAAATAAAGTGAATGGAGATGAGATTGATATTTGGCATAGTGCACTAAATAAATGTAAGGAATTATTGCACATGCACTGGTAAGCAGAAGAGTAGGTGCATTGGTTACTGAGGGGTTAACCTAAATGAGCTGGGGACTGGGTGCTTAGAGGTTACACGCCTGGGAACTGAGCACTTGGGAGATAATGCACATGGACTGAAGACTGTGCAATAAGGGAATGCACGTATGCTGGGGCAGGGAGATAAGAGGTTAATGCATATATGCTGCAGATAGGTCACTGAGGAGTTTAGGAACACACCACATATTCATCACTAAGGGGGTTGATGCACATGCTCTTGACACTGAAGCGCTAGAGTAATGATATAGGGAAAAGACTAGACATGTGCACTGGCAAAAAAATAGTTTTGTTTTGATTTGGATTTTGTATTTTTTCGGGATTCGGGTCCAAAAGTAAATTAGTTAGCGGTAGTCTGTACAAAAGTGACGTTACAAAAAAAAAAATGTATGTCACTTTGCTACAACGAAAATTCGTACAGATTATCGCTAATTAATTTCGTCCAAAATTTCGTTTTTGGAAATTCGGATTCGTTTTTATTGCTCATTTCTGTCATTTATGTTATTCGGATACACCAGAATCTCAGAATGACGGAAATTCGTCCGAAAAATGCATTTTTCCGAAACGAATCGCACATGTCTAGAAAAGACCAATCTATGTGTGTTCTGCAGGAGGGATACAGGGGAAAGACCAATCAATGTGTGTTCTGGAGGAGAAGGTTGGCAAACACTTTGAACACTCACTTCATAACTGACAATGAACTAAAGAATTTGGGGACTCCTGCTCTAATATAACTTTTTGGAAAGTTTAAAGGGAAACTGGTACCCATTGCTTCACCATTGAACAAATGCAAATAGGTACATAAAAAGAAAAACTACATTAAATATATCAAGATCTAGAAATACAATGTAAATAGACATCATAAACATCATAAAAATGAACAACAAAGGGGGACAATCTACCTGCAAATCTCTCTGGTTAGTGTGCACCAATCGATCCTTAAGGCCTTCATAATTTAAATATTCTTAACTCGATAATATAAAAGTTGCATATATATATATATATATATATATATCTATATCAGATAGTTTAAAATCAAACCCGCAAGCCCATATTTTAAGCAATTCATCATAATTGTCTCTATCAATATATGCAAATTCCTAAAAAAAACGTATTTTCTCTATACGTACAAACTATTCCTTAATAAGGGAAATTTAAGAAGATCGCTTCTTATAAGATTTAACAGATTGTTGAGTAAAATGAAATAAACAGGTCCAGGGGGCTTAAGGACACCTGAACTCAGTTATAATTCTAATTAAATGGATAACCTCTTGCCAGAAGAACTGTCTATTCTGTGTTCCCCATAAAGAGCCCATTATCACTGGACACACAGGCCACTAACTCCAGTTCACCAGCAGATGGTTTTACAGGTGCAACATGAGGTTGTGCTCCTATGTTTTTCTGGAAGACTGGAAAGAACCTAACAATTACGTAAAGGGGGTTACATTTCTATCCAGTTGTGATTTCAGTGATGCAAATTTATACATTTGCCTCAGTTTAAGCTTGCTTTCCTGCAAGCATGTCTTCAAAAGAATGAAAGGTACCATGTGTAAAATGTAAGCAGAAAAGAGCAGGAAGTACCCTCTTCCCTTGTGTTAAAACATGTGAAACAAAGCATCCCAGTACATCTAAATTGCAGTATAAGACATGGAAAAATGCGCAGAGGCATGAAGGGACATTGGTTTGTTTCTGTATAGCTTCTTTTCTCTATTCATGCATCCATCAAACACTCCAGCGTGAAGGCAGATGGTTTATATTCTAAATCAAAATTGAACAACTGTTTATTTATTTCCGGGGGTCCACATCTTACCGGTAAAGAAGAACTCCGGGCAGATAAACTCTTAACCCTTGCAGTGGGGCTACCCCCTCGGTTAGGAGAGATGACTTAGAAAGCAGCTTCCATCATCTTGATTTTAGGTGGTAATGTTGCACAGGGAGGATGATTGCAGCTATATCTGTAAGGTAGAACATTTTATTTGGGGCATATAATTGAGTTCCTTCAATTTGCCTTTAGTTCTGTTTTAATAGCCCCAAGCTTTAACATCTGATCATATGCACTGTCGGGACCCTAGCTGAGGACAGAAAGTTTCAGGCACATGACAGAGAGGAAGAAGAAGCTTGCGTACTCCTCAGTTTTATGCAGTCTCTAGGTCAGCTGATTATACAGCATCTGGAGTCTTCAGTCATTTAACTTAAGGGTCTGCATACAGTGAAGATCAGCTGCTGATGTCTGTTGAGGCTGTTATAGGGAAGGCATGATGGCTTAGCTGGAAGGAAGACTGAACCATTATGGTTTAAAGCTCAACTCCCACCTTAGCTTCAGTCTTTAAACAGTTGTATATGCTCCCTGCACAGGCGCCGGATCACTTGTACGGTGCGGCACTGTGTGTCTTCCCCCCCCTCCGCTGCCGCTGTCTGCTTTCCGGGCTCTGCGGTTTCCCATGCTAGCCCAGTCAAGGGATGGATCTCCCCTGATGGATCAGAGGGAGATCAGCAGGCTTCCAGTCGCGGATCTCTCCTCTGATCACTGACCCGGAAGTGATGTGTATTACATCCCTTCCGGTGTCACTGGGCACATTCTCTGGCTCCCAGAGCCAGAACAAGAAGCTGGAGAAGCAGATCGCTGCTTCATTGGAGTCTCTAGGTGACATTAGGGGTCTGAAATGACCCCTGATGTGTCTCCATAAAGAGGACCTGTCACATATTTCCTATTACGTGGCAGCGAGGAGAGGTAAGGAGGGAGGGGGCGCACAAAGACATGCAGCATACAAGCGATTGGGTGTCTTTACAGACGCCGGACCGCTTGTATGTAAACAGCCATCGCTGGCTGTTTCAAATTCTGGCAGTGTCCGGCTTGCACGCGCAGGCTTGAAGGATGTTTAAAGACGCCTACTCGCATCCAGAACACTCCTGTCTAGCCGTTTCTGAATGTTCCTATTACTATTTCCTATCTGACCCAGTCTAGTCCTCATAATTTGTGCCTTGTCAAAGTAACTCAAATCCTTTAAGCTGCCCACACACCTGACGATCATCGTACAATAGTTGCGGCTGATCCCACGATCGTACGATAAACGTAAGGTGTATGGGCAGCGTACGACCGCATTTACTGTACGGTCACACGACTTTCGTATTACGAGCATGCTAGAAAACCCGCCGAAAATCGTACGATTTTCGGCTGGTTGGTAGCGCGATC